ATTGAGAGTTGTGTACATTTCCATGCAAAGTAATTATATTTTGGCTCCATATCTAACCTCATCTAAATGCATGTGTGTAGTATCCATGCAACATACCAGGTCACTCAAACTGGAGAAAGCATGAGATGTACAAAAGAACAAGATACCAAAAACCCAGCACTTAGATGCTACACAAACACATAATAGACGAGCAACAAAGAGTTTACGTCATATCAGATGCATCCACCTCTAACAAACAGCTAGTAGTCTTCCTATTCTTCTTAAGACAAAGGGTTTGACTCTTGAACTGAATGGAACCTTCCATTGTCAACTTCTCTTTCCACTTCTAAAATCTCCAGTTGATCATCTTCCTTCCTTAGTAACACTATTTGAACATATGAAGATCACTTCTGAAGATGAGGCTTATTTCTCCAATGATGGCCCCATTAAGAGTTAGAGCTTTTGACATCTTCCAAACAAGTTCATGGAAGGCTTTAGAAAACAAATCTTATCCTAACATTCACATCCAACAGCCAAAGAGAGTAACAATATACCAAACTGATGGGGAGTTTGAGTTTACTGTGTTTAGCATCTGACAGCTCCCAACTTCCAAAATCACAGAATTCTATGGAAGTATGAGGTGCTAATTGCAGTTTGGGCAGGTCAAAACAAACCAAAAGCCTCAAATACATCTCAGGCAACAAACTCATATTGTGTATTCATTGTTGTAGGAACTTTGTCAAATGTTCACAGTTCCTTGATATTCATAGTTTTAAATNAAGGTATGTCTTCCTATTCGTCTTAAGACAAAGGGTTTGACTCTTGAACTGAATGGAACCTTCCATTGTCAACTTCTCCTTCCACTTCTAAAATCTCCAGTTGATCATCTTCCTTCCTTAGTAACACTATTTGAACATGTGAAGATCACTTCTGAAGATGAGGCTTATTTCTCCAATGATGGCCCCATTAAGAGTTAGAGCTTTTGACATCTTCCAAACAAGTACATGGAAGGCTTTAGAAAACAAATCTTATCCTAACATTCACATCCAACAGCCAAAGAGAGTAACAATATACCAAACTGATGGGGAGTTTGAGTTTACTGTGTTTAGCATCTGACAGCTCCCAACTTCCAAAATCACAGAATTCTATGGAAGTATGAGGTGCTAATTGCAGTTTGGGCAGGTCAAAACAAACCAAAAGCCTCAAATACATCTCAGGCAACAAACTCATATTGTGTATTCATTGTTGTAGGAACTTTGTCAAATGTTCACAGTTCCTTGATATTCATAGTTTTAAATAAATTCTTCAATTTTACAAAATTACACTTCTTGGAAAGTCTATCCTGTGCTTGCAATCCCCCAGAGATACAAGTAAAATTCAAACAAAAAATCCAAATTGTCAGCCACATATAAAAATAATTTATGAAACTGGATCAATATTCCAACATACATATATCACATAAAGTGAAGCTCTCAACCAGAGGAGAGAGAGGGAATAAGGGAAAAAAAGGAAGAGAAAGGAGATAGTAGACACAACTACATATGCATGGTAAGATGCTGATTAACATACAAACAGCATCTATTTAAGATTTTTTTATAAGAAACTCAATTTATTAATAGTAAAAAAAAAAGGTATTACATAATCCAAATGGACAAGATGTCCATTCCAAAACATGCAAAGAACAGAAAAAATAAAATAGAACTCATTACATCCATAAGCCTTCCTAATGACCACAAGATGCTTTCCAACTCATTGTGATATTCTCAAACTCCTTAGTCACCAAAGCCCAAAAAGATGCCAAGAAGTGAATACGATTCCCCATTCCTACCACTTCCTATTCGTCTTCTGAAATCCTTAAATTTATTTCCAACCAAATAACCAACAAAATGGCTAAGAATGCACATTGCCACAGAGTATCACCCCTCCCTCCTCCACCCAATCCTTGAATTTATATACCCTTTGGCGCCTCAACTTAAATTAGACTTGCTTCCAATTTTCAATCTTGGCACAGAGACCTTGGTCGGAGGCATCTCGGCAACAACACAAGAGGTTGCTCTCTACATCATCAATAAACATCCTATTGGAAAAAAAAGTATCTCCTTGTGTATATATCGACATACACACACATATATATTTGTATATCTATGTATCTTTTGATAACTATGACTGAAAATATTTTTAAGTTTTTGTAAAATCTTGGAAAACTATTAGAAATAAAGAAGTGGGTCTTCTTGGTTTAAGCTATAAAGTGGGTGTGCACTAGGTTGTGGAAGTGGGTACATAAAGTACATCTTATTTCTAGTAGTTTTATGAACACCACAATATAATATTTTACATTTTTTATTGCATAAATATAATGTTTATTCTTAGTTTGTGTATACCAGTTTGAGCTCTTTCCTTACTTCAAGTAGTTTGTGGCCTTTGATCATCATTTTTAGTTTTTGAAGTGTGCAGATGTTTTTTCCCTTCCACAAATTATTAGTGATCCAATGAAATTTTTTTTCCTATTCCAGATAGTTTCAACTTTCAAGAAGCCATGTGTAGAAATGATCCTCAATGCTTAGGGCTTATAAAACAACTTCTTATTTTATTTTTCAATCACTGGTGTATATTTATAGTGATCCTTGTAAGTTGTAAAAGGTCAAATGACAATAATTTAGTGGGTGCTTTATGAAGTAAATTTTATTTTGGAAAACGTGTTTGGTTTTTTTATTCATATGGACGATGAATACTTATAATTTGGAGATGTTTTTTTAATTTATTTTCATGCATGGTTTTATTGACCATGATTGTCTGTGTCAAAAAATAATGGGATTTAAAATAGACGTTAAAAGTTGACTCTGTTAAAAAATCAGATTCAATATAGTGAAAAAATAAATATTATGAGAGGGTATTACTGGAAATTTAATGTATTCTTGAATGCCATTCCATATTATTTTGGAATAAACAAAACATAAATTTGGAAATGGATATTGATTCCCATACAAGATCACTGGCATGCAATATAAGATTCCAATGGTATCTGCAACCTAGGCATCAGGATGCCTATTCCTGATTATGATTACCATCATCCAAACAGGGCCTATTCCTGATTATGATTATCAACATCCAAACTGGGCCTTAAAGTCCGAGTACAACAAAGATGAAATACTTCTTGGTGCCACCCAACAAATCCCAACCAAGTCAAATCGTCTATTCCATAACGATAACGTCATAGGATAATGTAAAAATAGATTGTTCACACTCTCCATTCTCATTACACAACACACCTCCTTTGAAGCAAATAATTTGTATTGGTCTTACCAATGAGCAATCACTCTTACACAAACTTATACTTTTAAAGACACTTTAACCTTCCAAATCTTCAAAAATGGGTTAAATAAAGGAAAGAAAGGATTATCAATAAAAAATTTAAAGAAAGACTTACATGAGAAAGAACCCAAAAAATCATCAACCCAATACCTTTTATCCAACGAATTAACATCCAAAGTGACCGACTCAAGCATAAAAAGAAGCACCACCAATTTGGAAGATTCTCTATCATTAATATTTCTACGAAACTCAAAATCCCAAGATATTGGATATGGAGCTGACCTAACCAAAGAAGCAACACTACGACCATGATAATAAGAGAGTCAAAATAAATGAGGGAATAAATTGGAAAACGACAACTCTCCAACCCACCTATCCTCCTAAAATCAAATTCTCATCCTATTACCTACAATGAGCCTAACATTTTGAAAAAAAACAAGATATTCCCTTAGAAATGAATAACCAAGGGCTTCAATCGTTTCCCCTATCAACCCCACTAGCATCCCACCCATTAGCCAACAATCTATTAGTCGATTTTATAAGTCACATGTTTACAATGTACACCTTAGTCAATGCTCAGGCCATATACCCATCAACCGCCTAGGGTTTCCAAGAATAGCTTAGATGTCTTATTCTGTTTGGATAAGTCTTCATAACTTCTAGATAGAGTTAGACACTTAGACTCTCATTCAATTCTATTGTGATAGTATTTCTTTCCGACTATACTTCATTAAACTCTACTTGGCACACACTTCCCAGGTCAGGAAGGCTTATCTACCGCGCAGACGAATTCCAATTGACTTATGTTGTAGTTGGGTCTTTCCCAATCTGCTCATCTGAACCTACATTTGTTTGGCCAAGATATAATATGCCTGGTTATGGTAGAGTCACTTTAACCAACTCCTCCCAGCACATGCTAATTGCCACGTGTCCACTTCTAGCTGTCAAATCATGGTTTAGAAACTCTGAACACCTTCATATATCATAAGACAAGATAAGACCATGAAATGAACAGTTATGCGCACTTCATATCAGATATTGTACCATCTGAATATGAAGATACAAAAGCACTTTTACTATAAAGATATTGGCATTGACACGTCACTTTCAAACAATATTATAGCATCAACCTCAAAGAATTCATGAATCGTTATGAACGTCACAGTCATTGCCACAACTTCTACAATCCTGCAACAAACTAAAGAGTTATAAACTAACCACCAGTGAAGGAAGAATTTTGCTACTATTGGAATCTACAAAGAAAGGTCAACATGAGAACCGAAAGTAATGAAACTTCATGCTAATAGCTCAACGATGAGGCATTTGGTCCATCCCTTAAGGACAGAATTAAGCTGAAGAAGGTGGAGAGTTAAATTACACCCTATAGGCATACATCTACTAATTCTACTAATATCTGATCAGAACAATTTTACTGGATTTATTTCCTTTAATGAGTAAGGATTTCGAGTTGCCATATAAACTCTAATTTGTCTTTTAAACTAGAGACAATAGAGTTGTATTATTGCCATATAATCAACTTCCAACCGAGCAAAAATAGACGGTCACACATCCCAGTAATATAGGTTACCTTTCTTTTCTTTTCTTTTTTTCAACCGCAACACAATTTAATTGTACCAAAAAAATCCAAACAATAAAACTAAGTAACAAAAGAAATATAGCATATTAGATTTCAGTTGCAACTACAATACCCGTGAATCTTCAATCGAGGTCCTCTTCTCTAGCCTGGCTTCCCGAGTTCGAGTTGGATTCTCTGTTGTTGTTCCCACCATCATTCCCAGCAGCTCCGCTATTGCTTGTCTCCGCAGGCGATCCAAATGCCCTAAATGGCCATGGCAACGATATCCTGAGCCTACGTTCCACACTCTGCGGCATCAGGGGATTCTCCTGAGACCCCTCTCCGCCACCAACCCCATCACCACTTCCAGAACCCACCAATCCAAAACCTGAATTACCACCACCAGTGCCCACTTGCTGGGCTGCCCGAGACCGGTTCTCGTATTCTGGATCGTCCGTGGGCAATTCATACCGACAAACCGGACAAGAATTATGCAACTCCAACCAGGGTGTAATACAATCCTTATGGTATATATGTTTACAAGGCATTTGTTTCGCCTCCTCGTGAATTTCAAAACTATCTTTACAAACCGCGCATTGCGACGAATCCGATGCCAATAATGCCTTGGTCATCTTTATATTCGGAAGCGCGTCAATAGCAGATTTCGAAGCTGGTGGTGTCCCGTATCTGTTTGGATCGTTTTCGGCCAACTGTTGAATCAATTGCTCGAGTCCAGGTCCAACGAAGTAGTCGCCGAGGTTGGCCGGATGCCCAAACTCCATTGGATCGGTGCCGGCGCCGGAGGGGTTCCCCTCGATGACGAACTGAATGTTGGCCCCACTGGCTCGAAGAGTATTGAAATAGTTCTGTAGAAACGCGAATGGGTTGAAATCATTGGAACCACCCGATCGGCTGGTGGGACTGCCAAAGAAAGACGATAAATCATCGATTCCACCGGCACCGATACCACCGCCGGAGTTGGAGGAAAAGACGATTGGCAAGCCGGGAAAATTCTCGGCGGGGAACGAAAGAAATGGGTTAGGGTTAGGGTTTGGTGGAGGGGTTTCGGATTCTTCAATGAAACCACCGTTGCAAATTGGGCAAAGGAGTTCGTTGGTTGGTGAAGGAGTTATGGTGACCGTACGGTTGCATTGGTGGCAGAAGTAGAATTGAGCGACGGCACCGCCTAGACCACCACCTAAATTTCCGGGAGATGATGACATGCTTTTTCAAGAGAGAAAGAGTACCAGGCCAGATCAACGAGAGGCTATGGAAGTCAATTGACGAAATGTAAGGCGAGAGAGAGAGAGAGAGAGAGAGCGTGGGATTAACGGGACTGGCGCGTAGATAAGTAAGAGATCTACTCGCTGATATAGGATTCCAGGTTTAGATGCAGGAGTCCAGGTTTTGAGAGGGTACATGTAAACTGTTACCTGACAAACGATTATCGGAGAATTTAGAAATCGATACACATCAAATTAGACATATTTATAAAAAAATGTACAAAAAAATATTTTGGAAAGAAGTATATTGTTGAGATATAAAGACGTAAATGTTTATTTTATAAATTTTTTTTTTTTAAAAACTGTAACAAGGAATTTATCTTAACTGTTGAAATTTAGAGACATTTATTTTAAAATCTCTTAATCTTCGAAAATGGTTTGTATACTCTTTCTTTCTCATAGAAAATCGCTTCATNAGACATTTATTTTGAAATCTCTTAATCTTCGAAAATGGTTTGTATACTCTTTCTTTCTCATAGAAAATCGCTTCATCTTTTTTGGAGAAGCTGCCCAACTTTTTGTCTTCCATAAACAAGAAGAGGGTTTTGATTGTGCAAGATACATCGAATGACAGAGGATTTAGTGTTGGATTGGCACAAACTCAAGAATGGTGAAAGTTTTGTTCGCGATTTGAAGAGATTTCAAACTTTGACATTACCGAAAATTGAAACAGAATCTCATTGTTGCTCGTTGGCCTGCGTTTAATAAGGTGATCGTTGAATTTCATCATNTGGCACAAACTCAAGAATGGTGAAAGTTTTGTTCGCGATTTGAAGAGATTTCAAACTTCGACATTACCGAAAATTGAAACAGGATCTCATTGTTGCTCGTTGGCCTGCGTTTAATAAGGTGATCGTTGAATTTCATCATTTCATGTACTTTTTTTTTTGGTATTGATATCATGGGTAATCCAAAATCAAAACATATTATATTTATTTTGATTTTGGTGTTTTTTTGGCTGAAAATTCTTGTTAAATTCATGTTTTGGAGACATAATGCCATCGTTGAGTAACATAATAAATAAAATCGAAGGTTGAAAACGAATGTGGTACACCCTTGATTTTTTTTGGCAAAAGCCCTAAATTATGTATTTTTTAAACCCTAGATGTTTTCCTCTTAGAGAAACTGTTAATTTATTAGATTTTATACACTTAATAATTTTTTGTTTTCAATTGTTTGAATGTAGGTCTGAAATTATGTTAGGAAATGTAATGTCAAATTAATTGGTTATTTTTTTGCTTGTGTTTAGTAGTCTTGTGCATGTGGTACCAAAATTTAAAACAAATATGTACTGTTATGAATGAAGTTATATGCAAATAAATGTTTGTCAGAATGTAATATTACAGTGTTTGTGTAGTGTGTTGTTACACAGTTATTGGTACAATTTTATTGTTATACTGTTTTAGTACACTTTTTGTTATACTGTTATAGTTACACCAAATTTTTTGTTATACTGTAATATTACAGTGTTCAGGGATGCAGGTGTTTATTTCCTGTTGAATAACTATGTATGATTACATTGTGTGTATATCCTCACTATTTTATTGTTATATTATTATTGGTACACTATTTTTGTTATACTGTTATAGTTACACTAAATCTTTTATTGTATATTGTATTTGTCAAGTTTTTTCATCTGCGTAACCCAGAGCAGTCATGGAGAAAAAAAAGCAGATCAAAGATAAATATGAATTTCGTTGTAGAGACAAAGTGTTGGACCAAACNTTTATTTTGATTTTGGTGTTTTTTTGGCTAAAAATTCTTGTTAAATTCATGTTTTGGAGACATAATGCCATCGTTGAGTAACATAATAAATAAAATCGAAGGTTGAAAACGAATGTGGTACACCCTTGATTTTTTTTGGCAAAAGCCCTAAATTATGTATTTTTTAAACCCTAGATGTTTTCCTCTTAGAGAAACTGTTAATTTATTAGATTTTATACACTTAATAATTTTTTGTTTTCAATTGTTTGAATGTAGGTCTGAAATTATGTTAGGAAATGTAATGTCAAATTAATTGGTTATTTTTTTGCTTGTGTTTAGTAATCTTGTGCATGTGGTACCAAAATTTAAAACAAATATGTACTGTTATGAATGAAGTTATATGCAAATAAATGTTTGTCAGAATGTAATATTACAGTGTTTGTGTAGTGTGTTGTTACACAGTTATTGGTACAATTTTATTGTTATACTGTTTTAATACACTTTTTGTTATACTGTTTTAGTACACTTTTTGTTATACTGTTATAGTTACACCAAATTTTTTGTTATACTGTAATATTACAGTGTTTAGGGATGCAGGTGTTTATTTCCTGTTGAATAACTATGTATGATTACATTGTGTGTATATCCTCACTATTTTATTGTTATACTATTATTGGTACACTATTTTTGTTATACTGTTATAGTAACACTAAATCTTTTATTGTATATTGTATTTGTCAAGTTTTTTCATCTGCGTAACCCAGAGCAGTCATGGAGAAAAACAAGCAGATCAAAGATAAATATGAATTTCGTTGTAGAGACAAAGTGTTGGACCAAACTGTGGGCTAATCATCATCTGTTAAGGTTGGTAAAACACACGACAGAAAACAAAAAAACACAGACGGTGGAATCGAAGCATGAGTCTAAATTTAGATTCAACTTGCTTGTTATTCTTAGAGCAATAGATGACATTAAGATAAATGAAGCACATAATGACGTATTGAGAAAACCCCTAATTTGGTTACTCTTTCAAAATATCATTGATAAAAAATTAGATAAGTCATGATGTAAAAAAAGTGATAGTAACATTCAGGATGTGATATTGTGCTTTGATGTTAATACATCCAAATTTCATATTGGTAGGAAGAAAATTAAATTGTGAAGAAGCGGTGTCAAAATAATATTTGGAATTGAAGATGGTTGTGATCCAATGGATTCATCAACTCATGGAAATGAAAACATAAAATTTATTAAACGAAGATTCAAGAAGGATAACAGGTTGACCTCAACTTTGANCTCAGTTATTGGTACAATTTTATTGTTATACTGTTTTAATACACTTTTTGTTATACTGTTTTAGTACACTTTTTGTTATACTGTTATAGTTACACCAAATTTTTTGTTATACTGTAATATTACAGTGTTTAGGGATGCAGGTGTTTATTTCCTGTTGAATAACTATGTATGATTACATTGTGTGTATATCCTCACTATTTTATTGTTATACTATTATTGGTACACTATTTTTGTTATACTGTTATAGTAACACTAAATCTTTTATTGTATATTGTATTTGTCAAGTTTTTTCATCTGCGTAACCCAGAGCAGTCATGGAGAAAAACAAGCAGATCAAAGATAAATATGAATTTCGTTGTAGAGACAAAGTGTTGGACCAAACTGTGGGCTAATCATCATCTGTTAAGGTTGGTAAAACACACGACAGAAAACAAAAAAACACAGACGGTGGAATCGAAGCATGAGTCTAAATTTAGATTCAACTTGCTTGTTATTCTTAGAGCAATAGATGACATTAAGATAAGTGAAGCACATAATGACGTATTGAGAAAACCCCTATTTTGGTTACTCTTTCAAAATGTCATTGATAAAAAATTAGATAAGTCATGATGTAAAAAAAGTGATAGTAACATTCAGGATGTGATATTGTGCTTTGATGTTAATACATCCAAATTTCATATTGGTAGGAAGAAAATTAAATTGTGAAGAAGCGGTGTCAAAATAATATTTGGAATTGAAGATGGTTGTGATCCAATGGATTCATCAACTAATGGAAATAAAAACATAAAATTTATTAAACGAAGATTCAAGAAGGATAGCAGGTTGACCTCAACTTTGATAAAGAACAAACTGGTTGAAGCAGTAAATAGAATAACTAAAAATGACATTGATGACATTATAAGGCTGCTATGCCTATTCTTAATGGCAACTCTCTTTTTAACACACACCGGGACATCTCCAGGATGAGGTTATGTTTTATACATTGAGAATTTTGATGCAATGAAGAATTATGATTGGTCAAGTATTATCCATGAATCTCTTATTTCTTCACTTAAGAGAAGGAGTAACACCCTATCAGGTGTTACTGGATGCGTAATATTGCTACCGATAATTTTTTAATAGCTCCATAACATTTTCAATTTTGTTTCCTTTAATTTAATAAATGAAGGTAATGTGTTTGCTTATAGTAAATTTGTATGTGTGTATGGTATTGATTTTGTGAACACACAACAATAATTAAAACTGAGAAGCCAAACGGTATTCCAAGGATTGTGAAATGGAATTTGCCGAGTCTTCAAAGAGCTATAAAACAGAATAGGCTTGGAAAGTTGAAGTCAAAACATGTAAGTAGCTCAGTTGTAACAAATTTGATTTAATATGTCCATGTTACTGAATTTTTAAATGTTGTATTTTAGCTCTATATTCCAAAGGTATTGAGACATAGATTGAAGAGAACAACGGAGGAGAAATTTTTTATCAAATATAAGGGAAGCAAACCACAAGAAGGGGGCCAATCTGAATTGGTGGAAAAAAATCAAAAGTGGTAAAATAAAAAAACCACATGGTGAGGTGGATGAGAAGGATATGAGAATAGGGGATATGAGACGGCAAACCATGACACATTTGTCGATGATGACGATGATATTATGAATGTAATTGGTGATGATGATAAGGAGAATGTGTCATTTGAATCTCTTATTGAGACTATTATTAATGAAGCAACCAAAATTGTGACAATTACAAAGATAGTCTGAAACAAGTTTCTGAAAAATATGGAACTCATGAAGATATTGATGTTGCACTACAAGATGACTGTGATGTAAAAAAAGAAGAAGACACAAATAGACAAACAGTTGAGGAGCTTATGAAAGAGAATGATGTATTAAAAATTGTTATACGAAACATAGCCCCAGATAAAAATTATTTAGAGCATTTACAGTTTGTTGCTAGGGATGATTCGTTAGACAAATAAAACACTGCATTCTCATTAAAAAAAAAAGGACATGATGATAAAAGAGTTGAATGAATTGGTTGAAAATATGAAAAAGCGGGAACAAAGGTTTGAAGCGAAAATACAAGTGTGCAAGGAAACAATACAAAATCGAAAAAATGAGAATGTTGAATTGATTGATCAACTTAACGAGTTA